TTGCTCCAATGATGTCACTTGCCCTTAGGTTCTTCCAGCAATGTGTCCAAGTGGGATGTGTGGAAAGGCCAAGCTGTTGCTCAGGGGAAGGATCTGTAGTAAAGCCATCTTTGGTAGTCATTGCTTAGAGATGTCATTTTCCTCCTAAGCCTGGCAAAGGACAACCTTTCTTGAATCTCATCTCCATTTGTTGCTGGTTATTTCTGTCTTATTGCTAGAAATAACAGAAGAGGAGACACAGGATAATGCAAAGAGATTGCCTGGGTCCAGTGTTGTGTCAATGTTACGGAGTTGATTTTGTTTGAAGGTGCAGGACAATACAGGGACTCCATTGAGCTCCTCCAGAATTTTAAACATTGGTAGCTGCAAATTTAAATTTTCCTTGACACACAGTAGCATGTGTGACACAAAGGTAATGAACCAAAATACCAGAGCCAGATGCTCTCTTTGCATTTTCCCGTGACTCTTCTTTTGCATTACTAAATGGAGAGAGTGATGCATTGAGCCACAAATGCAAAAGCCCATGCACAGAATACCTATGCAGTCTAAAAATAACATTGAGGAGAGTTAGCAGCCCTCATTCCAGCAGCAGTTGTTACCTGTTCTCCAACCTTGCCTGAGTGGCAGCAGGGTAGGTAATTTTGGTTTCCAGAGCCATGAAGTCGAGTAGGGATGCAGGCATGAGGGCTGTTCACTGCTCAGCCTCTGGCTTTTAGCCACCTGCCTGCATTGGGAGTTTGTTACAGGAGAGGTGTTGAGGGGTGGCTGGTTTTGGGAGACACTGACAGTTCCTGCATCCCTCTCCTCTGGCACTCTCTGTGTGTCCTGGCCTGCTGTGAACTGGGTGAAGCTGGTCAGAGACTCGTTGCTGTGTGCAGGGGGTGAATTCATCCTTTCTGTGACACCTCTTTTGCAGCTGGCATCAGGTGGGCTGAGCTGTCCTGTGGAAGTGCCCTCACCTTGCCCTTCCTGCCAGAGCTGGTCTGTGTGCTTGGTGCCAGGCTGCAGTACCAGTAGCAATGGCTGAGCAGTCTCAGGATATCAAACACCTCTCCTGAGTTGGGTGCACTGGGCTGACAGAGCTGCCTTTGGAACCACTCCAACAATTCAGAGTCCCAAACTCCCTCATTGCAATGTTTTCTAACTGAGACAATTATTTTTAATATCTAATTAAATTTTACTTCTTGTGAGCTCAGTCTTTTTTTATTATAGCTTTGGTAGGTCACAAGAGTTAATTACAGTCCTCATTGTAGTGGCCTGTAACATACTTGAAAATTGTCAGCCTGGCTGTTCCTCCACCAACACTATCTGGTTTTAATTAATTAACTCAACCAGTGGATTCTTCAGTTGTTTCTCCAGTCTCAAATATTAATTCCATACAAATTTTTACTTATGTTCTTGACTTTGCATAATTTCTTTTTAAAATGGGTGCTCAATTCCAGACATTGTGCAGCTGAGGTTCACCGGTCACCAGAGCACAGTGACTTCCAGGCCTTCTCATATTCCTCTTAAGTTCTAAAATGCTGCTTGTAGAAGAACTACAGTTCAAGATTAAGTTGTTGAGGCTGAGTTACTGTAGCCATTACTCATTATTTTGTGTTGTCTGCTTAATTTTTCCTTGTTTCCTACTTCACAATTGTTTTTATTGAATTTAATTGATTTCAGATAGTTTCTCCTCTTTAACAAGTTGCTCTTGAGTTATTGTTTTGTCTTACAATTACGTTTGCACTGTCCTGGTGTGGTTTGTCCCTTCTCTAAGTGTGTATTATGTGATGTCACTGAAGCTATTGAATAAGAATAGTGAATGCAATAAATTCCCTGTTAACTAAGAGGCGTGGGGGCAAACTAAATGCTGGAAGAACATTTTTGGTGTCTCAGTAAGTGCTGTTGTTTCCATGTGGTGTGGATAAGCTAGGTCCTCTTCATAGATGTGCTAGAAAATAGGTTAACCTCTGCTTCTGAACTGCTGCAAATCTCACTGTGCATCTCTCTTGGCAATGTAATGTAGGTGGGTTGTTGCCATTTGGTAACATTTCATGGGTTTGTGGATATTTTAATGGAGAAAAAGAATAAAAACATTCACTCTTGAATGGCAATTCTAACACGACATAAAGAATTAATCTGGAAAGTCTCCTAGGAATGCTGAGGTCACTCCAGAACTGCCCGGTTGCACACAAATATGCCAGAAATTATCCAAAAAAAGACTTGAAGTTGCCCTGTGAGCCTGAATAAAGTACTTGAACATGCTTTTTAAGTGTTGGATTTAAATCAAAACACATAAGGTAAGATTTTTCTTACAGACTGGGAAATATGAACGCCTGTGTTGTTTTGTTTATTTTGAACCACTTAAAATCTGGAAGGTGGGAAATAACTCTCTTTTAGAAAAACAAAACCATCCTTGGTCAGGAACAAATACCTTAGGAAAAGTAAGTGCATGCCAGAGCACCTGGTTGAGGTGCCAGCCTGCATTCAGTGCGTGGGACACATTCCCCTTTTGGGTCTGGGTTGTCACTTGCTCAGGTGGAGTGAATTGTGTCTGGATCACTCCTTTAAAAGGACTGACTAAGCTGCTTTTGCCTCGAGGTAGAGCTGTGTTAACAGTGAAACGGGTCAGTAATGAGGATGAATTCCTCCAACTCTGTACAGCAGTGACACACCAAGACTGAGAACTTTGGGGTTTGATGATTCAGCCTTATAAACAGTCCTTGTCTTCTGGTGCTGCTGATACATCCAAGGAGGAACAATGACTATATTGTTTTCTCTCTACAGTTAATGATTTTGGAACACATGTGCCACTCATGGCATATTCTTCTTCCCTCCAATGTAGCAGCTTCTGTAGTTGGACTCCAGGGTTTTCAACTGGATACAAACTCCTGGACAGTTTCCTTTTGTACACATAAGCAAATTTTTTGCTGTTGAGCAATCTGTTACTTCAATTGCAATAGAAAAAAATGCAGTCATCCAGAAACCTTTAGCTAGAAATTGGAATGTTAAAGATAAAGGTTTCATTTAAAATTCAAATATTTCTTTTTCCTATGATGACTTTTTTTTTTTTTTTTTAATTCAAGAAGATTTCTGGTTTATTGGCCTTTCTACTGTGTAGGAGTGGATAAACTTGTAGGTTTTGATGCAGTACACAATGTAGTGTATCTAAAATAGTCCTGTAATTTATTTTCTCTCTGTTTACAGGAGTTATTCTTCACTGTCTTATGCTGACAGCTTCTGGACTCAGTGTCTTCTGTATTATATGAAGGGGCTGGTTTTTATTTCATTCCTGTCAGTGACAAATGAAAATACTTACTTATAGTTAAAACAGTAAAAAGAAATCCAAATTTTTATAACAGTATTATCTAAATACAGTGTCCTCTGTCATCCTCTCAGCCTCTCTGCAGGATTCAGCATGGCCTATGAATCTTGATATGCACACATATATATGATATTTGAGAGAAATTTTTAGATAATGGAATGAAACAGTGAAATATTCATGTATAGACTATAACATATATAGAAAAAATTGAAAAAATGTATTACAGATCTCATTTTCTAAATTAAGATGCATTACTCTAAAACTCTATTCTGACTTGTGATTTAAAAGGCTTAGCTTAAAAGCTGGTGGAGCAGAAGAGTGAGTGAAGCTCTCCAGGTTGTGCCTGTTGGTGATGGAATAGCTCAGGGGGTGGAGGGTGGGTGTGTGGTGCTGGTGAAACAGCTCAGGGAAGGTGGTTTGTTTCCAAAGGGATTTACAGAGATTCAAACTGAGCAGTGACTGACCTGGCAGTCCTGAATAGCTGGAGAGGAGGAGTCAAGTCAGAAAAATAAAAAAGAGAGAGCATGAGTTTGTTTTCACCTGGTTCAGCAGTAACCCAACAAGGAAGATGATTGCCCTCAGTGTTCACTTTTTGATCTGTCATATAATCCCTTGTTTGGTGTTGCTGTCAAAACTACTGTATTGAAAAAAAGATCTACTGATGAGCCAGTGTGAATCAATGAATCACAATTTTCTGCTTCCTCTTCTCCCTCCCAAGATGATTTTTTTTTCTTTATGGGTAGATTGCATGTTCTGGGTTTGCTGAAGGTAGTCAAATTGTTCAGTTCGTTTTTCAGATCATGTGGTTGAAATTTCTTGATTTAATTTGGCTGTGGCAAAAGTTTCTGTACCTTTTTCTTAAACAGTTGTCAAAACAATTTAATATCCAAATGTGTTATTGGTAAGTTTGTAAAAAATGTTCTGTAAAAACCTCTGAAGAGAAAGTTCTAATTCATTTGACTCAGTGTTCCTGCTTCTGTAGTTGCTGTGGGTTTCAGTCCCTGTGAAAGGATGCTTAGCTGAAGTGTTGGGAATAAATTAACCAGAACTGCATGGTTGGGGCTCTTTTGGTCACTCACATGATCATTGGTATCACAGAATGTGATGAGTTTTCCTGTGTAGACTTGTAATTTCACATATCTGTATACTGCTGCTTTCTGAAATGAGTATTTTTGTATTAACATTTCAGAAGGGATTAGCTTTGGAAAATAATTGCTGTCACTAACCCCATTAGCAAAACTGCTGCTCCTGGCATGCAGGTGGAACAGCAGCTCTGGGTCTGACTGGGCCACTGTTTGTGGCAGCTCCATTCAGGTCATATGTGATACATTCTACACCTGAGAGCTGAGAGAGAATCTGGGGGTAGTTTTAGGTGCTGGGAGGTAGGGTAGACCTCTTCTGAAATATTTTCAGAAAAATGCTCTTTAATGTTTTTGCCAATTCTTGTTGGATGAATGTAGGATGAAGACCCAAAATTCTTCTAGAAATCTTCACTGCTGTGCTGCACTGTTTGTTTCCAAGTGTGATGTTGAACTGTCTTTAAAGATTTCAGTGAGCTGTTCCTCAGCTTGCACTGACTTGTGACACCTCTGATGGAGCTGCAGGGAAGCACCAACACTGCTGGGGGCAGGGGACAAGGATTGCTCTAAGGGGTTGCCAGCCTGGGCTTCGTGTAGAGAGGTTCTCAAGGTTGGCTGTGCTTCAGTGCTTCTGAACCATCTCCTGGTTGTCTCACCAAGGTGCATTGTCCATTGACTCCTGCTCTTCCTTCCAGAGCCTTCATTCCACTAAATCCCAGGATTCTGCGTGGCAACATTTGTTCAGACTGGTTTGTGTGCTGTCTTTCCAGTCCCAGCCTGAAACTTGGGTTTGCAGGCAAACAGAACCTCCTCTATGAGGGCAAGATTGGGTTTTCTGTATTTTCTGTTCAGGTGTGGTCCTCTCATTTCCCTGCTTCCCCACCTCTAATAGCTGTAGAGTTACATTTATGGAGAAGTGGAATTTCCTTATCTTGTCTTGGATTTTTCATCTCCCCTGAGTGGGTGTACTGGCAGGACCAATGTTCTGGATCTCCCTGCATCCCAACAACCATTGTTGCCCAGTGTTGCAGATCTATTGTTTTGAGCATTGGAAAAACAGAATCCATTCCTAGAAGAAGATGGAAGAATTGAAGCTGACAAAGGTAAGCCAGCCAGAACCCAGCCTTGAGACCAAATGTACAAAGAACTTCCCAGATGGGTTTCCCTGTGCTCAAGGCATTGCAAAAGTAGATTTCTTCCCATTGCCTATGCCCTGCCTGCCCAGCTTTTGGCAGAATGAGAGTAGTGTTTGTATTCCATGCATGATGATTAAAGGATATTTCCTTCTTTTATGATTATTGCATACATGATAATTTTGTCTTCTCAGCAGCATTAATTTATTCCAATATTTACAATTGTATCAGCATGGTTCAGAGCTAAAATTTCTTTCCCGTGAAGTACATTTACCACAACAACACACATGCATGTGTAGAAAATATTAAGTATCTCACAGGTTGCCCTTGCTTATTTCAGCACAATTCATAAGAAGCAAAAATAAAGACAATGCTATGAAGCACAGCAGAGTTTTACAAAGTACCAGAGTTTTATTATTAGTTGGGGTTGGAGCCTGCTGACAATCCTTAGACTGTGACACTGTGTTCTGATTAGAGCCTGGTGGAGACCACTGTTGGTGCTCTAGCACAAACGGACTGCTGCTGCATGTGAGGTTTTGGCAGATTATATTTCTGTTAATTTATGACCCACATGTTGCAATGCTTGATTGTTCCAGAAAAACCTTGCCAGGCTTTATTAAAGGGGAGGGAATAGGTGTGGCAGGCACAAAGCTTTCACATTTTCAATATGTTATTGACCAGAGTGCTGTACAGGCTTTAATTTCTAGCTGTTTTTCTTTCCAACAAAACTAATTTTTGCCCAAAAAAGTTAAGCACAGGAGGATGTGTTGTTCTGAGTTCTGTCAGCTCTTTAGTTTACCTACATCAAATTCTGATGTTTTCCAGTGTGCTGCAATTACTTATGCAGTACCTGAGCTGTAGTTACTCATACCTGCTTCATTTCAAACAGCAGTTTAAGAGACTGTACAGCAGCTGTAGTCATTGCTCCCACAAGGGTAAGACTGATATGTGCTGGTTTCCTTTTTCCCTTTTCAACTGAGTAAGTTCTCATGTTTTGCTACAAATCACCATTATCTGATTTTTATTGGGGTTTGGAGTATTCACATTTCAGCCTTGTCTGTTTTGCAGGTTGCTTTGTCTTGGTTCATTCAAGTGAAGTCCCAGTACATGAATTGCTCCATTTAGATCCATGAAAAACTGACAGCAAAGACCAAGGAAGCAAAGTAAACCAAGAGCATTCTGAGTTTGGTGCCTGTAACTGTCTCCTGGTGGCAACTTTAAGGAAGATTTGATTCTTGTGGTCACAGAGAAAGATGGTCCAGCCACAGGCATGTAATAAATGATGCTTAATAAATTATTCCAAAAAGCTGCCTTTATGTGTTTGCTTTTGTTGACTGCTCTATTAGACACCAAAAAGTGCTAGGGGGAATCTCTTGATTTACTACTGGTTTTCTATGCTGAACAGGCTGGCTTTGAAATCTGGTGCTAACCAGAGGGAGAAATAGGGAGAGAATCATCTGCTTCTCAAAATGCATGTCAGGGAGCCTTCCAGCCTCCTGTGAGCACAGCCTGTGATTTAAATAAATCCAGTTAATTTTAAATCCAGAAAATGAGGGGAGAGGTAAGCAAGAGGTACCAAAATGTTTCTCCACTTGCACAGCACGAACCTCCTCCTGTTGTGACATTGTTTGCAGAGACACAGACTGGGAATTGAAATAAGATTGTGGACCAAGCTGAAGCATCACACAGTATTTCAAGCTGCTCCAACAAATTAACTATTTAACACTCTGCTAATGTTGTGCACACACTTATTGCCTCCCAGCATGAAAATCAAGCAAATAATTGCAACAAGCTTCTGCCCAGTAGAAGTCACTGTAATGTAATGAGAAACGTTGTCCTGTGAGTAAACAGAAGGAACAGGAGGAAGCTGTTGGAAGCAGGTCGATGTTGCTTTAGATACAGGAAAAAAGATTCAGGAGTGCTCTGTGTCTGTGCCTTCAGCTCCGGGTGCAGTTTCAAGCTGCTGTGGTGGCTGTTCTCCCTGGTAACATAGCAACTGGACCACACCCCCTCCTGCTGCAGGATGCTAAAGAGCCCTTGGAGCACTATCTGCTGTACTGCACGGGAACTGCACCACTTCTAATGACCACAGCACTGCCAGCTGAGAGGCTTTTTCATCCCATGGAATGACAAGGAAATTCCTCGTTCTGTGTCTAGTAATCCTGTTGTGTTTTCTTTCAATGTTTCTGGAGTAATCCTGTTTTTATTGCAGAAGATGACTATTTTGATTTTAAATCAATACCAGAGTTGTATTTATCGGTGCATTTTATCTCATTTCAAAGTAAGTTCTTGATTAAAAATAAGCATTCTTGGCCACCTGGTGCTCTTGTTTAGTGCTCCTGTGTGGTGGTATTATGTTAATATTTTGGAAGAATACTCAAAGATTTGAGCATGTTTTTCTTTTCACTTAGACCTTGCAAATGACTGAAAAGCTTTCCCCACTTCTAACCTCTCTTCTGTTGTGCAACAGAAGAGCTTTCCTTGAAACATCTTGGTTTCCAAGCACAAGGAATTGTCTCTGGCCATTACTGAACGTTTGACTTTAAGGTGTGATGAATACTCTTATGCCAAGTTGAATTTTTTGATATATGCTGTAGATTAATTTACCTAAAATGAGTGTGGAATTAGTGTTGTTCAAAGTTTTTTTTTAATAGTTGTTATGTTCATATTTTGGGTTTAAAATCTCTGAAGTCTGCATTTGATGTCACAGCCTGACTTGGTTTGTCAGGGCTGTTTCCTTTGCTGCCTGTCTTAGAAAGATGATGATTATAACAGTACAAAAACCCTGTTCTGGCTTCATGACCTGCATGAGGGAAAGCTTTTTAAACAATCTGAAAACTTACTGGTTTCTTTAAATGTATTGGTTTCTTACTGTACTGACTTAGCAGTTGTTGTCATTGCACTTTGGTATCAGTCTTGGGAGGGACATGTTTTGGTGACATGTAGCACAACACCCACTGCAAAATAATGGTACTGGTGTTGCTGAACTTTTAGGTTTCCTTGTTTCTTAGAATTTAAGAAATCTACTGTAGTTCAGAAAGCTTCTGCAGCTTCTTGTGACTTGAGTACAAAAATACCAATTAGTCTCCCTAAAGCAGTATAAAACTGTCTTTGGAGGTGCGCATGTGATACCATAAATCCATGGCAATATTATGAAAACTATATAGAAATGCAAATCTACCATTTTTTTAACTTGATAATGCTTATGCATCCCCTCCCCCTTTCTGTCTTTATAGGTCTACGAGGGCTAATCAATCTTGGGAACACATGTTTTATGAACTGTATTGTCCAGGCACTTACCCACACTCCACTGCTGCGAGATTTCTTCCTCTCCGACAGGCACAAATGTGAAATGCAAAGCCCCAGCTCATGTCTGGTCTGTGAAATGTCTACACTCTTTCAGGAGGTGAGTGCTGTTTGCCACAAAGCGTTGCCTTGCCACAGCTGCTGTTTCTTAGCCCAAAAGGAATTGTGCTCTATTTGCAAATATAAAATGAATGCAAGTCGTGTTTCCCCTCAAAATGTAGCAAAACAAAGCAGTAAAGATTGAGACCTTACTGTCAAAAATACCCAGCTGCTGAAAGGGAATCTAATGGCTTTTAAGTCCTATTGTGAAGTCACCCTTGTTTAGGCAAAACTGGTGTTGGAAATAATTACAGTGCTGCCTGTTCTTCTGAGACTGATCTCAGGGAATCCTTAGTCTTAAAGCTGAATGTGTGCTTTAATTAAAGGTGCAAGTTGTAACTGGAAAATATGTCATGAGCTCTTCAGGTGATAATGGGAGTGAGAATAAAGCAGCAGTATACATCCTTGTGGTTTAAGGTACTGGATTATGTAGGTCTGTATGAATATTTAAAGATCTCAATTTAGTACTTGTTCACCAGCAGAAACATCTTTTCTGTCATCTCTTACTTGCAAACCCAGTAAGGGCCAGGAAGGAGGATAAAGAGAAGTGAATGTGTTGCTACAGTTTGTGCCTTCCCTGTACAAGCTGCACTTCTTTCCCACTCAGGAGCCTGGCTTTGCAGTGTGTCTTTTCTGTAGTCTGGTTCATGCTGTGTGAGATGAGCACAGGCTTCTCCTTAATAAATAGTCCAAGAACCTTATTATCTATCTTAACTCTACATGAGTATTGTAAGGATTGTGGGTGGACATGGGCTCCTAGTTTTAAGAGGTCTTTCAAAACAAACCCAGTTCTGTGCCTTTCCCTCAGTGGTAGATCTGCTTTCTTGGTAAGTAAAATAAAACCAACCAAAAAACCAGAAGGAGCTGTAGTGTACATGCTGACATGGAGCATTTAAAATTGCTGGAGATGTCTGTACACAGAGCAGGTTTTCTGTGGATGTGCAGTCATGGAAGTTCATTCTGACAGGGACCAACCTAAAATAGCTTTACCCTTATCTTGTGATTTTCAATTTGATTTTACTCCTGTGCCTTTTTCACCAGAGATGATTCTTTTTGCTCACTGCAGGTGAGTTAAATATATATAAAAGAAGGTAAAGCTCCCTTAGTTGTTCCAGTACAAAGTTGTTTTCTGCTCATACTCAAGACTTCTGAGGATTTGCAACATTTCATGCTGCTTATCAATCATCAGCTGTATGTTACATTTCTTGGTTTTTGTTCTATTTTTCAATTGTTCCCGAGTCTCTCAGGAAAGGAGGTAAAAACAAAAGGCAGGCAGACCAATAGGTAGCAGCTGTAGGATTATTGAAACCAGATGTGCAGTTAAGTGGGGAAATACCACAATGCCTAGATGAAAAAATCAGTCATGGTATAGAAATACCAGTTTCTGTAGACTATTAATACAGAAATCTCTTTGCTTATTTAAAAATAAGGAGCTATTATATTCTTGATATCCTTTCATCAAATAGTGATACCAAAGTCTCAACACTGATGAACATCACCACACTATTTACACATGCATTTTTTAAAAAATCCCTTGGGAAAGGGGAAATGAGTGTTACATTACAGATTGAGAGGCTGCAGGAAAGATCAAGACTCTCTAGGTAATGATTTTTGTTTCCATTTTTGTGTGTGGAGCCCTGTTGATGGCTCAGGATGCTTTTTGCTCTACTGTGAGCATGGAACAAAGAACAGGCTGCTATCCAAAACAGGCTTAAATGCAGCATTTGTGTTACTGTGTTAGTTTCAGTTGTAATCAAGTTTAATTTCATACACAACTTTGGGATATTCAGCCTTCATTTTCAAATCAAAATTCATGCCTACACTTGCATTAGTTCTATTAATTAAATGTTCTGCAACATGGGGTTGTATGGAGAACAGCCGTATCTGTGACACCAGACTGTGCAGACAGCAATAGTCCCTGTCCTTATTTCACATTAAATACTTCAGCCATGTGCTGTGGGAGGACACAGAAAGTGACTCAACCTCCTTGAAGTAAAACTGGAGCTGAATCCTCCTAAGCAAAGCTGTTGGGTCTGTAACCAACTTGGTATATTTTAACTCACAAGCAGTAAATACCTTGTTGTGCTTATGGCTCTGTCAGCACCCATTGTACAGTTCTGTTCCCAGTGAGTTTTAATTTCTTTGCATTCAGAATTAAAACAAAAATCTTACAATTTTTGGAGCAGACTGGTGGTTGTGTTTCACATCCCAGCTCTCTAAAATGGTTGTAATGAAGATTCTGTCGCTGCCTTTGCAGAGCTGAGGTCTGAGCAAAGGAAGGCAAACCAGGAGATCTCAGTGCTATGGTTAAGAATTCCTTTGTAATTGAATTACCAGGGAAGCTTTGATTCAGGTTCTGTCTTGTTTCTACATAGCTTTCCCACTGGGATTAACTGGTGTGGTTATCCCAAAGCATCTTACCCAGGGACAGACAATCAGGGCAAGGGTTAATTTCATCTCCCCTCCACCCTTCTCTTCTGAAGGTGTGATCTTAGACAAATGGAATGCCAGGGGATCTGCTGAGTGCCTGAGTGGGAGCTCTCCAGGAGAAAAACTGGAGACTGTTTTGAGCATTGAATAAAACTTACTATATATAAATAAGCAAGTTTTGCTCTTTTGCCTCAAACAAAATTTACCCATCCCACTTTATTTCTTTCTTGTTTAAAATCATGTAGTTATATATAGGTTGAGTGGTTTCTCTGTGATAAATAGGAAGCTACAGAGTTCTTCCACCTTGAAGTAGGTTGGTGGTGAGTAATGACTATCAGATGATTCTCAGGACTGAGGTGATTTTTTCCTGGTAGCTCTTCTGGCAGACACACCAAGCATTGAGATCTGTTTGTTTTAAAAATATCTGACTGCATCAATTAACATTCTCCTTTGTGCTACATGAAACCCATTTCTCTAAAGAATCATGGCATGACTTACACTGCATAAGAAAAGGAATGGAGAGGATTTGGGAGTAACAGGTAGTGGTGAAGCTGGACAGGGGGAAGATATAGCACACAGAATCCATTCATTGATCCTTTTGGCTGAAAGGCTTGGTGCACTCCTTTTTACCTACTGGTGTTTGTGTTGTAGTTTTGCTTCACCAACAAAAATTAATTTCAGGATGGTCCACACCCTGAGGTTTATCTAAATCCTTTCCAGAATGACTGCTCAGGAGGGTAGGATTAGAAGATCTGTGCCTCTTGTGCTCTGTGACTGGAATAGTAGGAATGGGAGTAGAGCAGAATGCAGTGCATCCACTCAGAGGTGGAAGGAACAAACCCTTCCTTTTTCCCATCATTACTCATCCCTGTGAGCTTAGCACAGTGCACAGCACAAGCACGGGAAGAGTTGAGAAGTGAGGACCAAGAGGGAAAAGGAGGAGATGATTTATGGCTTTGATATCTGAAGATGCTACTGTTGAAGTGACTTACGTATAAAATAAGTTACAACAAAGGTACTAGAGGGGAGAAAAATGTAGTTAAGGCTCTTTACATAGACAGAAGCCCTGCATTTTGTCATGGAAAATAGAGTTTGTGCTGATTTAGTAAAATTTAGTACTTTTCCCTGAAAGAAGTGAAAAACATACAGAGTTCATGCAAGCAAAATGTATTTTATAATTCTTTGAGAAGCCTCCAGAAGGTGTTCTCCTGCATATCCTCCATGGGTTGCCCAGTCCTTTCATCCATTGTAAATTGCCAGAAAATTTAAAGTCTTTACTGAGAACCAATTTCCAAGAGGAGTTTTTGAATCCTCAAATTGGACTTGAACCTGGTACAGGATTTCTGCCTATAAACTCATAATTACAAAGCTTATAGACTGTTTAGCGGATACATGTACAGGATAAATCAAATTTATCTGTTTATTCACATAATTGAGAAGCTTCTATGCATGTTTTTGGCAGGAGGAGGAGAAAGAAGTACAGATGTGTACGATGGGATCTTGTTTTGTTTTAAAACCTCACTGTTGTCTATATATTTTTGGTAACAATAATGCAAATTACAAAGCATATAGTCTACTAAATCCTCCATAGATTCTTTCTAGAATTCAGCAGCAATTGTTTTAAGTGGAAAAACAAAATTACTTTTACTTGGACTGTGTGTAAGAATGGAGGCTTTGAATCCTGGTTAGTTTGTTCCTTTCTCCCCCCTTCCTTTTTTTTTCCTGGAATAGCAATTAAGCAGTGTATTACCCAGCACTTTGAAATTGCTCAAACTAGTTCTCTCCAATATAAACAACTGATACTGCTGAATTGAACACAAATTTAAACAAAAAAAGGACTTAAATTATGTTTGGAACAGTTGTTTAAGAGTTGTATTTTAAAGGTGACTTGCAAATACATCATTGTTTATATTTGCACACTTCAGTGAAAAGGTTGGAATAAAACTTTACATGGACTCTTTTCCTTTTTGTGGACTGGAACAGCTCTGATAGGCTGCTTTTCCCAGCAGCAAGGAAATGACAGAGATGGGATGGATGTTTTATACATTCCAGTTAAAATATTGTTATTGAATGTGTTCAGATTCTGTATTTTATTTAATATTTATCTGAGTAGTGAACCTTTTCTCCCATCCCACGTTCTTTTCGGGCAGATTTCTAGATTTTTGTGTGATAATAGTTAATAATTTGATAAAGCTTCATGTCAGATCCTTCTCATCCTACTGTGGCAGCAGAGAATGTAAAATCTGCTGGCAGGTCTTGTGTCTGCAGTGGAGTAATTACATGGAGTGCTGGTGGTTAAAATGACCGGAGAGCTCTGGGACTAATTGTAAGGAGTGACAGAACAGGGAAGTTTTATTGCTGCAGTTCCCTGAATTATGTTGAGCAGCAGCTGCATCAGCAGATTTCAATTACCACACTCCTGCTCCAGTCCCTCAGTGTCATCCTTGTTGGCATCAGAGTTAACTATTGATCTTTGTATTTATAGGAACATTTTGTGGTGTTTGGCTGCAGAGGTGCAGCTTCTTGTTTGGGAAAAGTGGAGCATTTTGTCAGGAAGAAATTTCTGAGGGAGGAATTACACTAAAATCATGTAGAAAACCTTACCAATATGAGGACTAAATGAAGATTGTGCTGCCCTTTGCCAACATATCCCTTAAAATACAGTGTTTTCTCTCAGCAGGTTTGTAGCACAGTGCCTGTGCTTGGACTTAGATAAAATGCTCAGAGACTGGGCTGGAGAAGGAAGCTCACTTTTCCAATAAGGATGAGAATTATATACTACTGGGGCTTTAAATCTTGTTTTTTGTTCTATGTATTTGCCACTTACTGTTTTCTGTTTGGGAAGAGTAACTGAAAAGAAACCACCATGGATTTGATAGGATCTTGGGAAAACATAATTGTGGTGTTGCAGGCAGCATTTACTGGCAGATACCTTTGCTGAAGGTGAGGGAAGGCAAAATGACTCACAAATGTTCACTTATTAAAAACAAAATGCTATTCTGTCAAGGGAATAAACTCTTCTGGGCCTTTCCTGACTCCTGCAGGGACACCATGAGCATCCCTGCTTTACTTTTGGAACTGGTAGCACTGTGCAGGGATAAAGGAAGGGCTGAACCTCAACCCAGGGAACACAGACCCTTAGTATGGATGGGTTTTTGACATGGTTTTTTTTGGGGGGGTCGGTTGGTTGGAGTGTTTTTTGTTTGGGTTTTTTCAAGTGGGACCTGGCTATTTTTTAATGAAAAAAGTTTCTGTGGGCAGTGTCATCCTGCCCTGTGCTGATTTCCCTCCCCAGCTGTGTCACCCCCCAGCAGCAGCAGTATTTCACATCAGGCTGTGCTGACTGAATAATTCATCTATGCACTCTCTAATGTGCTTCTGGCAAAATCACCTGGGGCAGTTTTAGTCACTCTGCAGCCAGTTCATCAGATTTTGACTGAAGCAGATGAAGAAGCATCTGCAGGAGCTGGTCCAGCACCAGGTTCCCAGGCAGGGGACACCCTGCTGGAGCAGGGATGGCAGCTGGTTTTGGGGATCACTGACTGAATGGGGACCTTCAGCTCTGCTAACAGCTGGCTCAATAAAGTTGTTTTTAAAGCCTTTTACATTGAAAAGCCAGTACTGGCATGAGGCTGCTGCCCTGCTTAGAAATTTTTCCATAAAACTGGAGTGTGCACAGCATTTGGATGCAGAGTTGTCGTGGGTCAGGGATTGGCTGACAGTCAGCATCTTACATTCTAATCTTCAGTGTTTGTTCTGGTAGGGGGGGTGTCATTTCATTCACATGATTTGTGAATGAAATTGCTGATCCTTTTCAAGTGCAGGAATTTTTTTCCTTTCTTTCCTCCCCAGGCTATTTTAATAAAAGCCAGTGGTATCATTAAGCAAATTGTGAGTGATGTTTGTGTCTGTCTCCCCCACTCCCTGCACCCCCACAATTTTTTAGGCTAATCCATCACAAATTGATGGAATTTCAGGGGAGAAAACTGAGCTGCTCAGTTCTGAGATCACTCCTCCAGTAGTGTGTGACAAAAGCTATCTCTCTTCTTTATTATTAAGGCCATCAGAACTAAAGGGTTTAAATTGATTTGACTAATTGCGCTCATTTGACTTTTTAATAATGCAATGCACCGAGGCTGTGTCAGCTGTTAACAATCATGTCCTTCTCTTTGCTTTGAGCAGTTTTACTCTGGGCACCGATCTCCTCACATTCCATATAGGTTATTGCACCTGGTATGGACTCACGCACGGCATTTAGCAGGGTACGAGCAACAAGATGCACACGAGTTCCTCATTGCTGCATTAGATGTGCTACACAGACACTGCAAAGGTAAGGCTTGTCCTGAGGCTCCAATCAACAAGGATTATTGCATCAAAAGGAGGTAGAACCATCTCTTCTTAAACCAAGTCTAGTGCCAGTGCAGCACTCTTAGCAAATTCCTTTTAAAATGTTCACTAGACTTAAAATATTTAGAAATAAATAAACCATTCCCACTGTCAAAAAGTACCAAGAGTTAGAAGCAGAGAAGCCTGTACATTGGTTTGAATCACCATGATGATGTTCTCTTATTGGTTGTGAGTCACTGTCTTTTCTTTTAAATTGCCATTTTAATTCTATTTATACTTTCAGTAGTTAGATCTCTTACTCAGTGTGACATGGGACTCATGAAAATAACATGGGGGAGAGGTTATGTCTTAATACTTAATATTATTATTCTGTCTTAATACTTAATATTATTATTCTGATTCTACTGTATTTTTGATACCAAATTGCTTACAGAAATGTGAATAAGAAAGAGCAATGGGTGGCTATGATATCTTGTTTTATTAGTCTGTATAGAACAATACATAATTGTACAATACAATAAAAATATTCAGTGTTATGAAGTATCTAAGTCTTGATTTTGTAATATTATATGAAATTATGTCTTTTCTGTTTGTTAGGCAAACTGAAAATTTCCCAATCTGCCAGTGTTTGCTCTAGCTTGATTCACTTACTGCAGCAGCAAAATTTTTACTATTCCTCCAAGGGAAAAGTAGTAGGGTTGATACTAACAGAACAAACAAAAAATCCTTGTTTATCAAAAAGGTTTAATCACTCAACTTTGCTCAAATGCTCTTAGGAAAAGCACTTAGAGTTCATTTTTTGGCTTATCAGAGGACTATCAAAGGAAAGGCTGCTGCTGCTTCTCTGAACCACTGTGAATATTGCTTTTATCTCTAAGGTAGCCCTGCATGGCAGCAGATGGGCTTGTTCACATCCATAATTGGTGCCTCCAAAGGAATCTTCTCCAAAAAATGTATTGCTAAGGACAGGAGTACACAGAGCAGTTCCTTTGTAGTTATTAATGTCTGTCATATGACAACCACTAACTGGATTTCAATAATCCAAATTAAACTGGTGTGGAAGTTCAGTAAGGAACAAAATCTACCCAAATATTGACTTCTTAACACTGAATAAATTCAGATGCAAACAGAAGCACTTCTTTGTTCATATTAAATTTCTAAACCATTGATCTAACAAATCTTGAAGTTTTTTTTATCATCTCTGATATAAGATAATGCTCATATTTCTTCTACACATCCTCATTAATTAATGAAGTAGTATTTCTGTCTCAGAATTGTAAAGAGAAAAACTTGCAACAGTAAAGGTCCCTGAGCTCTTCTCAAACTGATAAAGAATCTGAAAAGACTTTAGAGAAAAAAATGTGGTTTGACTTTAAATGAACAATCTCTCTGACATATCTTCCTTGACATCTCTGCAGCCAGGTTTTCAAATTTCTGTTTTTGAAGAAATAGAGAGGCTTTTATTAAATCATAGTAAATAATCTGTACCACATCAAGGTAATTTAAAAGAAGTGGTTGAACAGTTGTGTGGGAACCAAACAAGTTAATCTAAACCAGAATTTCAAGCATAGTCATGCAAAACCACATTTGGAATGAACTAGTTTTCAGTGTAATGAGAAAGTTTTCCCACTTGTGTATCCACACAGACACACTTGCATGTGAAGTGTGCAGATGTAAAAATATTATTACTAATAGTGAGAATATGTCCTACAGCTACAATAAGCAAATAATACCTCCCCTGCCAGTATTAAATATTTATTTTAATGAATGAAGAAAGCTTTTAAAGCTTCCAGTCAATAGTAATGAAGTTTTACAATTAACACATAGTGAAATAAAATAAAGTCATGGGGGAAATTTTGCTCCAGTTTTTTGGACATTATTCATGATCACCAAGGCTTCAGGCACCAAAGTAAATGAAAGTGTTCCTTATGTATAAATATCCAGTGATGTTTGTCTGGCTGCCATTAGTCATTTATCCCTTTTCCATTCTGTGTACTCAGCTGTCTAGGAAGTGTCTTAATGCAAGTGAACACAAAGCTGTGAATATTTATTGTTGATTTGTCACTGCCTAAATTAAGAAAAATACATGATTTTGATGTCCATGTAAAGATAAGTTTTGTAATCCTACGACTGCCCTGAGATGATTATGTGGGCAGCCTGGCCCAAGCAATTTTTTTTATTTGGTTGGTGTTTTAAATGCTGGTAGAATCTATACTGTGCTTTAGTGGCATCTGTGGAGTTTTGGAAGGCCAGGACACCTGTCTGATCTCCATGTAAATCCTGTCTGAGGGGTGACAGATGTGCTGGCACTGTTGGGTTGAGCTGTGGCATCTGGGCAGGGCATATTCTAAACCCTCAATAGGGCTTCTCTGTGCTGCTGGAGTAATAGGAAATATTTCTGAATAAAAAGGGGTTAAGTGTGTCTTGCCTGTGCATCACTTTTTCATTTCAACAGCTGGAGGCAGGTGATCTAACTGGAAAGTAGTATTTTGGTGGAAGAAATAGTGTAAATAATCTGTATTTCTGCCCAGGCTGTAAAGCATTAAGTCAGCTTTTAGTCAACATGACAGATGCATCTTTATCCCCAGTGCTCTGGGATAAATTCGGGGTTCTAACTCTGCAAACTTCCACACCACTGAGGTTCCAATCATGCAGACACCTTTTAGTTTCCCACCTTTGTCTCAGACATCCTCAAGCTTGGGGAAACTTAGATCAGAATTACTGTTCTTTTAAAAGGATCAAGACTGCAAGTCAAAAATTACTGTTCTGTCCAGTGACATCACTGGCTGTGGGGGTTTCTGCAGGAGCAACAGCACTCAAGTGGCAGAGATGGGCACTGGTACACAAAGGATCAAAAAGCAAGAGAAAAAAATATAAGTAATCTGTGGTTTTATCCCAAACTTTATCCAGTAGTTTTAAAAAAGGGAGAGTAGTACTTTAAAGCTGATTATTCCTCATTTATTTGGATTTCTTGAAGCGTTTTGCATTCTCCTTTAACAAGGAGTGCTGCAAAACAAATCTGAAAACAGAATCTGAAACCAGAAAAAGAATGGTGTACTGAGATTTGGGAGGAAAACACTGCCCTGCTCTGTGAATTCTGTATGATATTCTTAGGAGTTGATAGAGCATATGCTTGTGAAACATGTCATCTGCTCTGATCCATATAGATTTGTGTATTGCTTTGTCAGAAATAACAAGCACTTGTTCAGAACATCAGGGACCAAAGCAAAGCAGAAATATTAACATTAATGTTTTGTTTTGATAAAAACCCCTTTTAAAATCTGACAATTCTTGACTTCTCTTTTCTCATTTAAAATACAGAATGGAAAATTGAGTCAAAACTTGTATTTTTATATCAAAACCAAAAGCAGTCTTTAAAAGTTGCGTATTTTAAAGCTGTTTTTACTGCTGTTGTGTATTATTTACCTTTAGTGGTATATTAAATGCCTAATTTGAACACAGATTAACATGCTTAATTATTTCACAGACACAGTAGTAACCTGTGTGGGGTTTTTTGAAAGTTGCATTTAATTTGAGTCCAAACTCTTAAACTCAATTTTAAGCCATTCTCATAACCACATTAATGTGTACATTGATGCATTTTTAGGTTTGCTTTTAGTTTTGTGCTGACCATTCGTAGAAGCTGCTGATTTCCCTGGACCAGATTTAACCCCCTCCCACCCCCCCCCAAAAAAAAAAATCTGAAATTAAAACCTAATTTGGGAGACAGAAATGTTGAAGGGAACCTTAACTTGAGCACAACAATCTAGCAGCTTCTAGTTCTCAGCTGCATAATATACCTCCCCTCAGCATCTGTTCCATATTGACAAGTGTGTGTAGGTGGTAATCTTACTCTTTTTTTCCCTCCTCTCCAACCAAATGTCATAGGAAATAATGTTGAGTGGGTAATACCCTTCTGTTTTGCTGGGAACAAGCTTGCAGGATATTCATTTGAGACCCTCTCATCACTGATCCTAATTGACTTGTGTAATTGAAAAGGGAGAGCTCATTTCTCTCTGTAGGAGGCAATGACTGTCTGCACAAGGTGTCCAGCTGGGATGGTACCTGTGATCTAGGGAAAAGCTCTCAGCACTGCTTTTCTCCTTCTGCCCCCTCAAAACAAAGCAGAGAGAATGGTTGAAATGGGGAGATTACAAGGATGTGGTAGTTCTTTAAAAAGGAAAAGTGGACTTTTAACCAAAAGCCAGTTAATTCTATTTTGAATATTTTCTTTAGTGCTTGTGAATATAAGTGAAGCTTTTTCTGTAGGTGAAGGATGCCTTGCACAGTCTCTATCCTGTATGCCCTCTTCATTAGCTTAGCATAATTGAGCCCTTTAAAAGCTCTTAAGTTCAATAAGATTTAGCTGAAATTCCCATCAAGAAACGCCTTAGACCGAATGTGATAACCCCCAGCTTGAACCTCATACACTTGAAATCTAATTTTAGAGCATTTTCTTCAAGAGTCTTCTTAAGGAAACAATGTGCTTTTCTTGGCAATTCAAACAAAAGTTTCTAAAGCCTAAATCTGGCAGCTGAGGGAGAACTTTCCTGAGGCATTTAGAATCTAATTAACTCAAGTGGCCCATTGCAGCTTAGTAGGTATCACCTATGACTGCTTTTCCACACTTACTATCCACTATCCAGTGGAACCTTTGCCAGATTATTATATAATACTTTTCAGCATAACTCTAAAGCTTCATTGGAAAAAAAATCATTCTATCTGTTTCTACTACAAGAAAACTCCAGCTAGAGCTCCTTAGACACATGAAAATGGTCTATTGCCCTGATTTTAGAAACTTGTCACTTCTTCAGGTGGTTTTTTTTGGACATTCTTGAGTAGAAAATAATCGGTTTTGAGAAGTAGCAGAGATTTGAGGACTATTTCAGTATTTCAATCTTAGCATTTCAGTTTCAGAAATCAAATACTTCCCAGTAAGTTAAATACACTGGGACACCTGTCCAAATGTAGTTCTGTTGTAGCAGTTGCTGTTGAAGGAGATGGAAGAACATCCTGAGATGTATTTTAAGAAACAATTAGCTGGTGCTGTGTAGTAGTTGGTGTGTGCATCTCTAATTGCAAAGCAAGCCCAGTTGCATGTGTCCTACCCAAGGAAAAGAAGCAGTGGGCAGTCTGGAAATGCAAGGAAAAGGGTGTCATTCCTGCCTCACCTTGGGGAATGGAGGGACAGGGCTTTGAAGCTGAGAACTGTGTGCACAAGTGTTTGGTTATTTAATATTCTGGTTATTGTGAGAAAGTTGAGTTGGCTTCATCTCAGCACTCAGGTCCTAAAAATGACACTTTACTCCTGGGATCTGCAGTGACTGTGTGATGCCTGAAAGATGGGAATGTGTCCACTGTGCCTCTGGGGAAGCTGGAGGAGGACACAGCATTACCTCCTCACTTCAGATAAGGACATCCTTCATTTTCCCACTGATGAAAACCTGCATGGAAGGTGCACATTGATGGAGGCAGTGGGGTGGGGGTGAATGGCTCTTAATAAATTCTCTCCCCTTGCAGAAGCTGACTGGAATAGAAGTAAAAAGCAGCATTTGCTGTTGTGAAGTTTAAATAATGATTTAATGAACCACCTTGGCAACTGCTCAAGGGTGTAGCTGAGAACTACTATGGTTTAAAGCTTCACTTCTACATATAGTCACCTTTTGGTTATCTTCTATATTTTTCAAGGAATTCCAATCTTGTTTCCTTGTTTTATTCAATGCACAACTTCTGCAGGGTTCTGTATTATCCTTGCGCACTTGCAGTATAAGTTTGAGTTAGAAAGAGTTACTGGAGACACAGTCCAAGACAAACCACTGTTCCCTGAGAGGATTTTTGACTTCTGAGCTTGTGTTTGCATTCCTGCAGGTGATGATAATGGGAAGAAGGCCAACAACCCCAACCACTGTAACTGCATCATAGACCAAATCTTCACAGGTGGACTGCAGTCGGATGTTACCTGTCAAGTCTGCCAGTAAGTCACTTTTCCTGATCCTGGGCTCTGATTCAAAGCTGCACCCCCTCCAGTGCAGTGCACTGAGCCTTTCCTCTCTTGAGTACCAATAAATACTGGCAAAACTCCAGAAAGACAAGAACTGTGTTAGTGCAGCACCTTGAGGCACCAGCACAGATTTCCCAGAGAAGCTGTGGCTGCCCCATCCCTGGCAGCGTTCAGTGCCAGGCTGGATGGAGCTCTGAGCAGCCTGGTCTAGTGGAAAGTGTCCCTGCCCATGGCAAGGGCTGGAATGAGATGATGTTTAAGGTCTCTTCCAACCAAACCATCCTGGGATTCTCTAATTCTATAATTCAGTCAGCTAAATGCAATCAATTGTCACTTAACTGTCACATGTTAACACATACCTAAAAAGCTGCCTAGGAAGTACTGCAGGCTTATGCACACAAACCTTTTACTAGTCTGGAAAAGGTTGTTGTTTTCCAAGACCATAAAGAAAATACTTCCAAGATCTCTTTGAATTTCAGTATATATAATTGCAACTACCTTTGAGAAAATTCTGATATAGAACCACATTTTCCTTCAGTCAGGAGCCTCATGTATCATCAGGAGAGGTTTCAAAGAGGCTGATGCCTAATGTAATCTCAGGTACCAGAAAAAAGCCTTTACAAGAGTATGGAAAAATGTATTTATTGTCCTACTCTGTACTGGAACAAGTTGACTTCTCATTGGAGATGTTTGGTGTTGCCATAGTGCAGAAGTCAGAGTTCTTGTTTTTTGTTCTGCCTCACATTCTTGCTGTCCTGCTCATGGGCTGGGCTTGTTTGAATCTGCTTTTATTCTCAGTTTCCTGGAGGGATTTGCAAAAGATTTACTGTAAGGAAAACATAGGAAATTTTGTTCTTTGCCTGATAGAGACACAGAATCCTTATGTGATAATGCAAAGCTTGATTTCTTATGACACAATATTAACATTGATGAAACTTTGACAAAAGAAGTTTTCTTTTGAAATTGACAACTATGAAGCAGAGGGAAAAGGCAGAATATTGAAGGCTTAATGAGATTTCAGAGTGGAAACCACTGCTTTTAGGGGAAGAGAGAACTCAAAAAATAAGTGTAACAGGGCACTTAGACCCCTGAAGTTCTCTTAAAAATGTGGATGCTGGAAGAAAAGATTTGAGTCAATAGCAGTTAAAATTTTGAGCAGCTTTTTCCACAGTCTGTCTGTTGGCCTGTCTTCAGCTGTTTGTAGATAACTCTGATAGAGAACACAAGCTACTGCTTGGTGCAGTTATTCTTTGGCCCCTCATATGCCAAAGGCTGTAGGAGATGCTGAGAGGAACTGCAAAACTGAATTCAGTGCACTGCTGGACAGCAAGACTATTTTTAAATCCTTCTCTTTTTTGAGGTAGCCTCAAGCACCATCTTCCATGTCTTGAGCAGGCAAGACCAGCTTGTATGCTAGTTGGATGGCACATAGCTGTTATCACAGATGTTAACTGGTTTATACTGGTCAGTAGTGCCTCTGTCCCAGAGCAGCTCTGCTTTGAGTCTCAGGGCTCCAGTGAGCGTGAGACTTTCTTAAATACTTTTATTTTGCATTTAATACATCACGTACATTTCCCCAAACATACAGCTTTTAAATGTGCAGGGAAACGATCGATTGTGGGTGAACACTCTGGAGCAGCTCTGTTTTCTGTCATCTCTGAGTGCCCTCTAGGGGTGATGGAGATCCCAAAGCCCTTCAAATTAAGCACCTGGAGTGCACCCCAAAGTGAGAGAGAAACTGTTCATTTGGCTTCCTTTAAAGGTGTGTGGAACCCTTCTCTTTCCCACAGTGGTGTTTCCACGACGATAGACCCCTTCTGGGACATCAGTTTGGATCTGCCAGGCTCCTCCACCCCCTTCTGGCCGCTGAGTCCGGGCAGCGATGGCAGCGTGGTCAATGGGGAAAGCCACGTGTCGGGCACCACCACCCTCACAGACTGCTTGAGAAGGTATGGCCTGCCACAGACACAGCTTGGGCTTGGAGAGAGGGAATTTGGCTTCATCTTCTTCTCCAGGTGGCTCTGAGCACTGGGTGCTTTCTCACAGCTCTGTTCCATACAGCATTATACACGTATTTTTGTTGTTTCTCTATAAGAAAGGAAGAAGGCTCAGAGCAACAATAAGCACTCAAAGCCTTTTGCCACATGATGTAAGAAAACAAATTTTGCATTGGCTACTGCCAGAAAATGGGGTTTTACATGATCAAAATCACTAAAGTCTATCTCCTTTTTCTTCATTCTGGTGGCTGAGGAAGCACATTAAAAGAATTTACATTGCATTTGATATTTATCTAAATTCTAACACTAAGCAGGAATCAGATTTTGCTCTGAGCACAACTGAGAGTCAGCTACTGCCAGCTTAGTTGCAGGGATGCCATTAAGGATTAAAGGAATGGAGCTTTCAAAAAGAAAAATTCTGAGGCTGACAGGCATCTTGGAAACTGATACCTGGGGAGAAGGTTATGGCTTTGTGTACAGTTCACCTGGATCTTTCAGCAGATCTGAAAGTCATTCTCCTGTGGCAAATGCAGATATTTGCCTAAGAAAGAGGTTACCTGGAGCTTGATGCTGTTAAGATCAATAATTTTAAGGAAATGAGGGAATTAGTACACATGAAAAATTGCTGATGCAGAAAGACATCAAGAGGCAAAACCAATTGAATTTTGGTAATTTTCTTCAACATAGAGATTAGTAGAAGCAAAGTTGATGATAGGGAAGGAAAAACATCCAGGTTCAAAGATACTTCCAGAAAGTATGGATTTTGGAAAGAAGTTGAACTCTAATAGATAAAGAGGATGGATCTATGTTTTTATCCAAAAGTTAGCAAGAAAAAAAGTGTGTAACTGCATGTCAGTGTGGCCATGCAGCTGAAATTACCCTGAAGAAGGAAGCATTGAGCAGGATTGTGACACAAAAATGGAAAAATACGAACATTCCAAACAACTATCAGAGCAAGTTTATAAGCCTTTTTAGAGACTTATGGATAAACAAATACAAAGCATAAGAAAGAAAAAACAGAGAATGATGACACATAGGCCAGGTAAAGGAAATCTTGTTAATTAATCAGGAAGCTGTGATGTCATTTAATGCTGGAGGCTGCTTTGGCCATAGTTAGAGTGAGGGTGAGGGACAAACTGACACCATGTTGCACTCACATTCTTCATTTAATGAAGAAACTTAAAGTTTTTAACTATATTTTTGAAATATTTCACCTCAAAAATCCTAGTTACAAGGCAGCCTCTGGGGAAAATGTTGATTTTCCTTTTGAAAATCTAAACTTGGAGGAAAAGACTCAGAAAGGAAAGTCCATGGTCCTGGCCTTTCTATGCTGAGTTTCTGGAAAAGAGAGACTTTGCTTTAGTTTGTAGTATGAACATTGAGGTAGTCCATTTTCTGTGAGCTCTTCCCTGTTCCCTAATGGTTTCTTCCCATGGCTCCTTTGAGCAGTTCTGTCTGAAAATTTTGAAAGAGATTTTTGTCAACAAAGGTTTTTTAGAAGGGTATCTGTATTTTGAAAAGAACTTTGTGTTTACAGGCCTTTCTATCTCAGAGCTTTGATCCCAGCCCTGGAGGGCTACAAGGTAGAATAGTGTGTTGCAGAAGAGTGTCTTCCATATCAATGTTTCTGGGTTTGAAAACCAAAGATCTTTCTTTGCTTTCTGTATGAAAATGAGCTGCTCTGCTGTAGGAGATGAACTGACACTGAGCTCCTTTCTCAGCCACTGATTCACTTCAGTGCAAGTTAGAGCCATGATCCACGTCACATTTGGATATCTGAGCCTTAGCACTTCACATTATTATGGTTTGATTGTAGGTATTTCCAAAATTATTTAAAACCCACTGACTCTTGTCTGTTGTGGTGCCAGTGACCCACAAGTAAAAGCGTTTCCAGCACATGTCAAAAACCATCTGATTGTTTCGTGCATTCCTTTCCTTTTCAATATTTTTTTAGGTTTACAAGGCCAGAACATCTAGGAAGCAGTGCCAAAATCAAATGTAGTGGTTGCCATAGCTACCAAGAATCTACCAAACAACTCACTATGAAGAAGTTACCCATTGTGGCCTGTTTTCATCTCAAAGTAAGTTCACGGGGGGCCAGCAGAGCAGAGGATGTGATTTCCTCTCTGACAGGATGAGCTGAATTCTGGGACATGTCTTCTGGCTTTCACTGACTAAACTTTTATGATATAAATTAATATAAAGAACATCTTGCCTCGCCCAGCTAGATTTTCTGTTAAGATTGTGTTACATTATCTCTGATGTAGCTTTGCAGTGTGTCTGGGGGAACTTAACCAGCTTGAATCTAGAGACAGAATGGAAGGCTGGTCCAAAACCTGAACCAGCACAGAAACCAATCTCCAGTTACACGCCCTCATCCTACATGGTACAATTTTTACACTTGCACTGAAAGTTTGCCACTGTATTGAAGGAAAAGCATGGAAAAGTTCTGAGGGAAGTCAAGGTGAATGTGCTCCACTCCTTTCCTATACTTAGTTCAGTATTTGTGTAATTCAAAATCACTGAAGACCTTTTGGAAAATAAATTATTTTCCCTAAGTGATTGTGTTGTCCTGTCTATGCAAAATGCAAATTTCATTTTGTGTATTAATGCAAAAGAGAAACACAAAAGATAAGAATTACAGAAATCTCAGCTTTTCACATCTGGATCTGTTGCTAGGGACTTGTAACAGCATCACAATTGGAAAATAATTAACTTGAAGTGTAAATAGAGAAGAATTTCTGAGAAATGGAGAGGGAAGCTGCCTCTAAATAGAAACTCATTCATCTCTTTCTGGTATTTGTTCCTGTTCCAATTTAATGTTCAGTGAAGGAGATGAGGAGAGGGTGGTGGGTATTGCAGGCCCCTTTTGGCTGAGGGACAAGGGTTTTTTTGTTAGCATACTCAATTTTTTGCCTTAATTTGAATGGGTATTCCTGTGTAGGTTTGACTCCTGTCACTTGAGATGATTGGATGGGTGGATTCAGAGTGTGACTCCGAAGGCAAACTCTGTTATCACCAGTTCTGTGAGCCAGGGTAGGCAGCAGCCATGGGTTTGAATAGCCCTGGTGCAAATGAGCACTGCTTTGGGTAAAGGCTCTGTGTGTTCTCCTTATTTAATATATTTTTTCTTTGATATCACGTGGGAATAGGTTTGTATGCATAGATAACAAGGTAAATAAGCTAATTAATACTGTGTTAACATTGAGCCCACAAATGGTGGTTTATTTTCCTGCTAGAAATATGCTGTTATTTAAATGGACATTCCCATAGAGCTGGTAGGAAAAATCTGGGGCTTTCCCTGCATAGTGACTGCTAATGTGCTTTCATGTTACTGTTTTTAAGCTTAGTACATTTATAAAAACCATAAAATTTACCCTTTGTCTAAAGAAGAAACCTCTTGCCTTTGCCTGCAGCGGTTTGAACACTCAGCCAAACTGAGGCGGAAGATCACTACGTATGTCTCGTTTCCACTGGAGCTGGACATGACACCTTTCATGGCTTCCAGGTGGGCTCCAAGTCCAAAACCCCTCACAGAGCTGGCCTGAACTGGTTCCCACTTCACACACGTGCAGCATAAAACAAGGAGCATACGTGAGGGTACAGAACAGTGTCTGTGGTGGTACTTCTGCCATGAGCTGCTCTGTGGAAGCTGTGGCTTGTCTAAACCCATTTTTAGATTAACTGTTCAGTTTCATGTGCCTGAAAAGGATTTATATTTACACATTGTGGTGGGATTCTTTAATTAATGTGTGTTATGTTTCTGGTCGCCCGTTAAATTTATAGACCCAGATCCATCCTGCCTTCAGATCCCTGCTTTGGTCCTATCCCCTCAGTGCCCACCCACCTGCCATCCTGTGCAGTTGGCCAACCTAATCCCCAGCCAGTATTCCTGAAGTTATAAAAATCCTTCCTTTTTATTCCTGTGCATAGGCAAATCTGGGGGTTTTTGTTTAGTACCTTCAACTTCTGTTTAGAGAATGCTGCAAAAAGCAAAAGCATAGCCCAGATTAAAATAGAAACAGCAAGACTTCTCCCACCTCCCAGGTTTGTGGAAGACGTGGCATTTATATAAATGCACCTTTATGAAAGGAATTTAATCAGCTTAATTAAAAAGTATTTGTCAAACATTCATGCAAATATGCAAGAGGATATTCAGATTTCATTTATATCTGAAGCAGTGCAGAAAGCCCCAAACCATGGTATCTCTTAACAGAGAGACTCTATTTGATGCTGAAATTTTACTTACAATTTCAAGCTTTGCCTGCACTCCTTATTTCCCAGGAAAAAAAGTAGATGCTTCTACCAAGAGAGAAAGGAGAGCCCTGCAGCTCTGTTAAATACCGTTATATTAAGGATATATGGTTTATTCCAATATATTCTTGAGACTTCCTTGTTCATCTATGGTGAATTCTCCCTGGATAGAACAGACTCTGCTGATTAAAGGTACCCAGCATAATGGAATAGAGATGGGATAATCAGCAGGCATAACTCAGCAGTCTGAATTTCACCAGCTAGGAAATCAGCAGCATAATCCTATTGCTGCTGTCAAAACACAAAATGAATTTAGGAGTCAGAGTCAAGATGATCGACCCATTACAATATAAAGGATTGATGTAATTAGATAATCTCCCAGGTTTCAAATACAAATATTTTCTTAACCTGTTCTTAAGCTTTTTGGATAAAACATTTGACATAAACAGATGTGTATTTGCAGCACCAAAGCCTTGACCAGGAGGAGAAATGGTGTTTGTGATGTAGCACTGCTGTGAGAGCAAATAAAACATCTTTAGCATCCTAATCAGCCCTTTTTGCTGCTCAGCTGGAATAAGGACCTGGATTCAGAAAACAGGCTGTGTGTCATGTCACAGCAATTTCCTGGGTTTGGGAAGCCACTGCTTTAAGTGACTGGATTTTTGTGTGTGTGTGTGTTGCAGTAAAGAGAGCAGAATGAACGGGCAGTACCAGCAGCCGACGGATAGTCTAAACAATGATAATAAGTAAGTGGTACATTCCATGACTCCTATTGTGAAAGGTAGTTGCCTTCTAGAAGGAGATAGTGTTGCTTTATATCCTGCAGTGCCAGTGCATTACCATATCTGACAGCACAGTAACTCTGGAATGTTGCAAAATAAATCTTCGCTCACTGCAGTTCCTGCCCTTCCGTGGGGCTGTGGCAGCTGTTCCAGAGCTGAGGGTGATACCCTCAAATGGTCTCTGGGCAAAATGAAATGCTGTGGTCACAATGTTCATTACAAGGGATGGGTGTTTCCTTGAAATATTCCTCTTCCTATTGCAATGGCAAAGGGAGTTCCAGAGGACCAAAGAAAATTAATAGAATGCTGACACTCAAAGTCAGGAACAGATGATCCCAATAATCCTGGGGTCTATTGGGCAGGTATTGATTCCAGTCAGAATAAATGATGGACTGGTGTGGGACTTGCTCAAGAATGTAAAGGGGGTGTTGGAAACCAGTATCCATTGCTTTATGGGAATAGAAATGGTCACACAAACCTTACCTCTTCAGTTAAATAAGGTCACAAGTTTCATTGCTGCTGTTGTGTATTTAAATTCAAGGCACTTGGTTTGCCACTAAAAGTTTCAGTAAGAAACTGGAACCACACAAAGATGTAAAACCAAACTCAGCAGGTCTTAGTGCAGGTGTCACCAGGCAGGTACCAGGCAGGTGTTCTGCAGTGCTAGAAAAGGTCTGAAGGTAACACAGCTGATCACTTTTGAGGTTTGCACATGCCTTAACTGGGAGAAATTGTTAAAAATTAAGCAGATTTAGGTAATGAGAGCAAAGGTGCCTGGATTCCTCAGGGATCTGGGTGCCAGGGAACAGCTGGGGCAAAGTCAGAAGGCTCCAGCTGGGACTGGAGTATGCTGTCCATCCTAGCTGAATCAAGGACTCCCCTACAGACAGTGGCTCTGTAGGCAGTCAGTGAATAGCTGCCTTGTTGTGGCACCACTGTGTCAAAAGAGTTCTGTGAATTTTCAACTTGAGTAGGACAATATCAAGTGAGATTAGAGAGATTATTTTACCATTATGTAGCTGTGCTTGTGTCACACACAAAGTGTGAGGGCAGCATTTTATGAAAGAGTTAAAGAGAGTTTAAAGAGAGTGGAAAATGCTTGAAAAAGAGCCACTAGTGTATTTAAGACTGGAAATAAAATCTTACCTTAGAACAAAAGAGCCAAAGACTTCAGTCTTGCACTTCAAAAAAAAAAAAAAAAGGAAAAAGAAAAAGAAAACAAGAGCAACTTGCTGATCAGTATCTTTTTTAGAACAGAGGTGGGCCTGCAAGTTTTCAGGCAAGTGCACAGCAGCATCTGAGAGCTGGAAGTTGAGTATGAATATATTCAGTATTTCAAAATAAGTACAGGCTTTGCAGATTAAGGACAGTTAAATCAATTCAGCAGTTTATCATCGGAAATATCTAAGATTACCTCCTTCCCCATACCTCAAATGCATGTTTTCTGGTTCACTAGAATAAATCAAGGAAGTAGAAGATCAGACTGGATAATCAGTGGTCCTCTTCAGGAATGCACCAATATTGATCTATTTTAGAAGCAAATTTGGTAGCCAGTATTGGTAAAGCTAACAGTGATCACCAGACTGGAGAGCTGCAGAAATAGAAAGGAAAAGAAATATTTTTTCCCCTGGGCAAGGCCACCCTCTTCCCCGCTAGTGTTAAACTGGTGTTTTACTGATGGAACAGATCCTTTAGCATTGCTATGTGTGCTTATGAACCGAAGTTTCTGCCTGTCTGAAATGCCTGTTGCTTTCCCCCTTTTGAAGCACATATTCATGGTGTGTTTTCTGTCCCAGGTATTCCTTGTTTGCAGTAGTTAATCACCAGGGAACCTTGGAGAGTGGGCACTATACCAGCTTCATCCGGCAGCACAAGGACCAGTGGTTCAAGTGTGATGATGCCATTATCACCAAGGCAAGCATTAAGGATGTGCTAGACAGTGAAGGGTAAGTGGTCCCCTGGGAAGGGGAAAGGAAGGCAAACTTTGACCTTTTTTGGGTTTTTCTTACTTTAAAAAACCCCTTTTAATCATAGAGAAGGATAATTTCTCTCTTGAATATCCCCTGTAATGCACAGTGCTTCAGCATGGAGACTGCACAGTCACATTTACCCATAATTGCTTTATAACCCTGGATTTGCTGAAGAGAAGGGAAGGACAAGGGACATCAGGTGACTGCAATGTCTGGAACTGGTGCTCATGTCCAAACTGCTGCTAATGGAATGGATTCTGAAAACCAAAGTGATGTGATCCCCCAGTGCAGGAGCAGTGTTTATCTCTGTGACACAATCCAGTCTGTGCCTGCAGAACCTTTGGATTATGATGAGTGTAAAAGATTTGAAGAAAAGCCATTAAGGAAGTGCTGTGCCCTAGAATAGCAAGGCTCTATGGGAGACAGGTAGAGAACATGAGCTGTTTCTTAGCTCATGGCTTTAAATTAATCTCAGATTGACATTATGGCTTCTGATATTTATATTATACAAGCTTTGGGAGGACAGAGCAGTATTTTTCAAGGGAAGCACTGTATGTTCCTCATTTGAGGGAGACACTGGGAACTGGTTTATGTTCCAAGAAAAAAGCAACTTAAAATCTGAAGTCTTCATTTTGCATTTTCAACTATGGACTTGGTACTGCAGAGATAAGTCTTTACCATTCTTGTTTTAATTATTCATGACATGTTTAAGGATTGCTGCAGGCACAATGTTCAGGTTGTAATTTTTAAAATTTTCCCGTTTTTCCTTTTTTTAAACTTCAATCGGGAAGTAAAAACAGAAATCTATTATAGCTGAATTTTAGTGTTAAATGACTTGACAGGGAACTTCTGCTTTGAGGTGAGCAGAGGAATGATTTTGTTGTAATTCAGTAACACATGCCTGGTGCTCAGGTGGGGTTATGCCCATGGAAGAACCTGCCAGAGGCAAGGAGGAGAGGATGTACAGCACAACTATTGCCCATAAAGGCTGGTTTGAGCTTTGATGCATTTCCCTGGTTCAGATAAAGGCTGACACGGTAGCTCCGTGTCGTGTGAAGGAATCCATAGGGCTTGGATGGAATTATAAAAGTTGGAATGTCTCAGAAGTGCTCTGAGGACTCCCAAGTGGCTGTGTCAGAGTGGTTAAGGGTTGTGTGGAGATCAGTCCCCTTGTTCTGTGTGACTGCTGAGGGGCTGGGCTCCCTTCTGTACCAGTACACACACAGCAATCAGGGTCAGGAACAACTTCATCCTTCAAAACACCAGATTTGAGTGCAGACTGACACATCAGATATTTGACTGGGACATGGTCGTTCACCCACATGGCTGCATCTTCATTTTACTTCTGTCCCAGCAAATGGGAGGCAGTTTGCAGTAATCCTGGTCTGATCTCTGGTAGTGTGACTCTAAAGCAACAGCTGTCTCTTAAAGCACATTTATTTTGTGTCATGTTAGTGTTTAATGGTTGCTGCCTGTCTGAGCACCAACAGAATCCAATCTTCCAGAGTTTTCAGGTCCTGAGTAGATTTTATAAGGTTTGACTCCTTCATAGAATCATGGAATGGCCTGGCTAAGAAAAGACCTTAAATCTCATCTCACTCCAGCCCCCTGCCATGGGCAGGGACACCTTTCACTATCCCAGGTTGCTCCAAGCCCTGTCCCTGGCCTTGAACACTTCCAGGGATGGGGATCCCATGGGGTTTCTCTTGGATGTACAGCTGTTCAGTTCCTGAGTGGGTGGTAAAATTGTCAGCTGGCTTCCCTCCTTCTCATCCCTGCTTAGTGTCCCTGGAATCTCCTCAAATTAAAAAGAAAACCAAAATTAACAGCCCTCATGTGTTATGGTTGCATCAATGGAAACTCACCTGCTTTGCTACACAGCTGACACTGTCCCTCTGCTCTCTTCCAGATATTTGCTGTTCTATCACAAACAGTTCCTGGAGTATGAATAGCCTTATCCAGCAGCTTGTCAGATGTAAACAAGGAAGAAACAACACAAGCCTTCTGAATCGACACACAAACCTACCTGAAAAGAAAAGACCCATTACAAACCAACTCGCACTGAGCTGTAACAGGACCTACTTGACACTGACTCACAGCCTGGAGAGTGAGAAATGAACAATGTCCGACGTGTGTGCAGTCCCACGAGCACAGAAAGGGGGAAAAGAGGCTGCAGTCAGTCACTTAACAGAGGAAATATGAAATGAAAGGAATGCTCTGGGTGGGGGAAATGGGAGCAGAGGAGTCCGGGCACTGGTACATCTCCTGTGTTCCTCCAAAATGTGTGTGGGAAGGCAAAGGATTCTACCCTCATCTCCATAAAGCATCTTCTCCATTTGGTGCTTCAGCTCCAACGACCAATCATATAACAGTTAAAATTAAAAATCCAAACCCATTTTTTTATGCATATGGGTCTGAAAGCAGTAGAGTGGAGGAGGAGGGGATGAGACAACTAAAGGACTTTGCAAGTATCTTTTTATTTGTGAATTTTAGTTATTAAATAAATACAGTATGAAACTATTAGGCTCTTTTTTTTCCAACAACCATAAAAGAAATCCTGGATTGTGGAACTGAAGCTGCAGTACTCAGACAGGTTTTCAAGCATGCCTGCTTGCACAGGTAATGTTCAATGCCATCGGACTGCTCATCCAAAAGCATCAGCACAGATTCTGTTGTTTGAGCCCTTTTTTGTTTTGTTTTCTATAAATAGCTATTTTCTTAATTTTTTTCCTTTTATTCCTTTTTTTCACGAGAATGAAATTCATAAATGCAACCATCAGTAAAAATGAATGAATTGGTGTGTTTATACTGTAAGAGTGGTCTTGGTTCTTTTTGGTTTTGTTTTGTTGTTTTTTTTTTTTAATCTTGTGAATAAGTTTGAATTTCTCAAAAGCGCTTATTTTGTTGTTGCTGGTTTTGGTTTGTTTTTTTTTTTTCCTCCTGCTGCTTTCCAAAGGTGGATTTATATATATCTGACACTTGAGAGAACCTCAGTGGTGAAAAATGTACCATCTGTTGGGAATGGTCGCTGCCGGGGCAGCTTTGAGCGATGGATCTGCTGCTATTGAGCCCTTCTGCAGTGCTCTAAGTAAACAACACATTTTCCTGGTATGTGCTAGGCTGGTATTGGTTCCTTGTATCCTCCCACATGGATTAACTCTTCACACGCTCTTCTCCTCCTGCAGTGGCACAGCCTGTGTGTCGGTGCTCTCAGCTCGCAGCTCTGGGGCCTTTCCTCCCCTTCCATCGAGGTTCCAGCAGGAGCTGCTCGTGCTGGATCTTGCTCTCAGGAGCTTGGGCTTGGGCGTGGAATTGCAGCCTGGGAGAGGAAGCCTTCAGAACAGAGCTGGAAGAGCAGAACCAGCTTTGTTCTCCCGTGTGGAGAAGGTGAAGTGTCGGCTTTGCACTGTGTAAATTGGTGTCACACCGAAAGTCACAGAATGGTTTGGGTTGGACTTTCAGGATCATCTTGTTCCAGCCCCTGCCATGGGCAGGGACACCTTCCACTATCCCAGGTTGCTCCAAGCCCCGTCCAGCCTGGCCTTGGACACTTCCAGGGATCCAGAGAAGCCACAGCTTCTCTCATCTTTAAGCTCTGCATAAATCCCCAGGCAGCCATTCCTCAGCTTCGCCAATGTGGAAAGGCAGGGAGGGATCTAAGCCTTTAGTTTGTGCTCCAGGAATGAGGTGCAGGTGTCTAACACAGTCTGATAAATAGAAAAACAGGAAAATAAAGGGAATCGAGTGTTTGGGTTTTAAATTACCATCTTACAAGAGCAGCCGAACAGGTGGAATTCTTTTGATTTGCATACAGACTGGAATAGTACGAGGAGGTTTTGTACATCCGTGACAGGGCACGGAGGAGGAAAGGACAAATGGAAGCAGCTCGAGCCAGACCCAGGTTGGGTGTGGCGTGGGAAAGCCAGAAAGTGCTTTTAGCTACATTTTCATGTCCCTCAGCCACTCAAGCAGAGATAAAGCTTTGCCTGATGCTGGTGAGTGATGGAAAAAGCAGAAATGTGAGAATTGGTTCGAGGGATCCTGCTCAGAATCAGTGCCCTTAACTCGGTGTGTGGGGGTGCCCGGGTGCTGCCGAGACCATCGCGTTCCCTGCCTGTGTAACAATTTAATTTCCATTTGTGCTGGAAATTTTAAGCTGAGCATTCCTGCGCTGGAGCGCGGCTGGGGAGCTGCAGGAGGGAGATGGGAGATGGGAGATGGGGGATGTGAGATGGGCGATGGGAGATGGGAGATGGGCGATGGGAGATGGGAGATGGGAGATGGGCGATGGGAGATGGGCGATGGGAGATGGGCGATGGGCGATGGGCGATGTGAGATGGGCGATGGGCGATGGGAGATGGGCGATGGGAGATGGGCGATGGGAGATGGGAGATGGGAGATGGGCGATGGGAGATGGGAGATGGGCGATGGGAGATGGGAGATGGGAGATGGGAGATGGGAGATGGGCGATGGGAGATGGGCGATGGGCGATGGGAGATGGGCGATGGGAGATGTGAGATGGGAGATGGGAGATGTGAGATGGGAGATGGGAGATGTGAGATGGGCGATGGGAGATGGGAGATGGGCGATGTGAGATGGGCGATGGGAGATGGGAGATGGGAGATGGGCGATGTGAGATGGGCGATGGGCGATGGGAGATGGGCGATGTGAGATGGGAGATGTGAGATGGGCGATGGGCGATGGGAGATGGGCGATGGGAGATGTGCCGGGCGCTCCCGCAGGAGAGCGGCCCCTCCTTCCCCCGAGCGAGCCCGGCGTGGTGCGGATGCCGTGCCACGCTCTCTGCTGCTCTTTAATAATGCAGCACCTTGCGGAGGAAGGCAGCCGCCAGCCTCTCGCCGTCCCAGCGCCGCTGCATCGCCGCTCCCGGCTGGACGAGCGCCGCCACCCCGCGGCCGCGCCCGCCGAGGGTGAGGATGACTCCGGCGCTGCCTTCGCTTTGCGACGCCGAGCTCTGAGCCTTTGGCTGCCCTTTCAATGGATTCTGTTTTCATTGCGGCTGCCGCTGCAGCCGGCTTTGTTAAGCCCTCAGGAACAAATTGTTTAGGGACGAGGCAGCCGTATAAATCACCCTTAATTTTCCCTCCCCGCCCATCTGGTGGAGAGGGTTCTGCTCTGTGCGGCTGCACCGGCGCAGATGGTTCTCGGGGGGAGCTTTCAAGGCTCTCTTTCTGGTTTCAAAAGCAGAATTCTTAGGGTATTAAAAGGTCTATTATTCTTTTCTTCCCCCTCTCCCGCCTACCAGCCCACCCCCCGTGTCCCTGCCCGAATCACACCAGGTTCTGTTTCCAGCAGCAGTAAATCCATGCCGGTTCCGAGAGGAGGGGACAGCATTTTCCCTTTTCCTGTAAAAATGGAAGAGCAGCTGCTGGCGTATGAGCAGCGCTGCCCCTCACGCTGCTTTCTCTCCAACACAGGCTCCTCTCCCCCTCCATCCCTCCAGCAGCAGCCGGGCAGCTCAATGCGCTGCACGGTTCCCGGCAGAGCCGGGAGTTTCCCCGTGGAACTCCCTCAACATCGCCGAGCAGCCGAAGGGAGGGTGAAGCAAAGCCTCCCTGACGTGGTGACAGCCAGCAGTGCCAGCTCCTCATCCAGGGCAGCACTTTGGGCTTGACCTGTTTATTTTGAGGTACATTTTCTGGCGGCACAGCTGGATCTGTTGGGAGGAGGCGTTTGCAGGAATGGCTGGAAACAAAGAGTGGCGCAGCGACGCCGGCTCACGGCGGGGTGTGCTCCGCTACCTGCCAGCAGTGAACACAGCTCTCCAGGGGACACAAAAATGGCCAGAAAGTGCTTTTAGCTACATTGTCACATCCCTCAGCCACTCGAGTGGCGATAAAGCTTTGCCTGATGCTGCTGCCTGATGGAAAAAAAGCAGAAATGTGAGAATTGGTTAAACCCAGGGCCGGGGATCCTGCTCAGCATCAGTGCCCTTAATTCCATGTGGCTTGATCCATCCCATCTGGAATTGCTGGTGTCCTGTACATAGTGTCCCTCCAGCATTGGAACTGATGCCTCCAGGTATGACCCTTCAGAGCTGCTGGCCAGGGGCTGTAAAATGCCAAAATCCATTGATTCCTCTTGGCTCTCCTGCTAAGGGGGTTTGTTATTTTCCTGCTAATTTGTTCGAGTTGCTCCCTGTTACCTTTTCTCTTGTAGTTACATTCCCACAAGGAGAGGAGGGTGAGGGATGCTCCTCTCTTGTGTCTGGGCAGGATTTGGCCTCGAGTGTTTTCCCCAATTTTTGGGCACCACATGGTGCCAGGAGGAGCAGCCCTGTCCCAGCCCTGGCTTTGCCTGGTGTGAGGTGAGTGACCTCCTGAGCCAGCTGGGGCAGGAGTTCCTGGTGCCACACAGGGTGAGCTCCTGCTCTCACTAGCACAGGCATGGCCCTAAAATCCTTCTCATTTGAATAATTGATGCCTCTTGATCCTCCAGGGATGCCCTAATTGCAGCACGGGTGGCATGTGTTCACTTAATTCTGTCCTGTTTTTAAATAAGGTTCTGAATCTCTCTATAAATATCATGGTTCCTGGAGGTGACACTTGAAGGTCTGTAGGTCACCAGAGCTGGACTGGATCCACGTGTCCCCAGGAGCTCCCTGCTGGCAAGGGGCAGCCTGGTGAGGCACTGGCTGCTGCTGAGGGTTTTCCTTCTCCTGAATTCCCTGTCCTTGCTGGGAAGTGCTTGGGCAGAGAGGGCACAGAGCTGAGGCCAGGGGAGGATGTGCTGGTGCTGCCCCAAGGTCAGTGCAAAACCTTCACCTGGAGCAGTGATTGCAGCTCTGGAGCCCCTGACAAACAGGATGTGCAACTGTGGGGTGAGTCCTGAGAGCTGCTCCGAGGGCTGGAGCAGCCATGGAGCCAGGCTGGGACAAGAGAAGGCTCCAGGGAGAGCTCAGAGCCCCTTCCAGGGCCAAAAGGAGCTCCAGGAGAGCTGGAGGGGGACTGGGGACAAGGGATGGAGGGACAGGACACAGGGAATGACTCCCCACTGCCAGGGGCAGGGTTGGATGGGATATTGGAAAGGAATTCCTCCCTGGGAGGGTGGGCAGGCCCTGGCACAGGGTGCCCAAAGAAGTCCTGGATCCCTGGAAGAGCCCAAGGCCAGGTTGGACAGAACTTGGAGCAGCCTGGGATGGTGGAAAGTGTCCCTGCCATGGCAGGGGATGGAATGTGATAATCTTTAGGATTCCTTCCAACCCAAACATCCTGCAGAGTTTGGGAAGGGAAACCCAGAGCAGGAGGAGATGTGGGGCTGTCGGTGCTGGGGGCTGAGGGGGGATCAGGGCCCCAGTGAGGGTGGGGGACATGGTGCTGCAGGAAGGAGCGAGCGCTGAGGAGAAGCCAAGAGCCTTTGGAGGTCTGAGCACGAACAGGAACCTGAGGAGAGGAGAGCAGGAGCAGAGCAGGAATGCAAAGGGAGGCTGAAGGATGTAGGAGATGAGCAGCAGAGCCAGAGCTGGTGCGAGGGCAGGAGAGGGACTGGGCAGGAACTGAGAGCCTGGGGAAGCTGAGGGATCCATGCCAGGCTGAGGCTGAGCAGGGGTGGAGGCCAAGGTGATTTCGGGGGCTGAAAGACTTTTGGAGTTCTAGAAGAACTGGGTTGCTACTGATGGCACAGGATTTGGGGCTGTGGGGCAGGAAACCACAGGAGCTGAGAGCAGGAGAGCAGAGGGCCTGGAGCAGATTCCACAGGAGCTGAGGCTGTGGAAGGTGCTGCTGTGAGAGGGGAGGCCAAGAGGGTCTCCAGGTGTGCTGGGACACAGAGAAGGTCTGGAGGTTGGGATG